ACCAGTAAGTCCGCACAACGGGACAATAGCGGACGTCACTGAGTGTCACCCAGTGAATCAAGGGTATTCATGTGCGGCTGTTCAGATTGCATAGCGGTATGAACGGCAAGAGATCACTGTTGATTGACACGCATTCATTTTTAGCATTCATTCTAGGATTCCTCGTAAGTATCCATGCTGCCTCAAGGATCTTCCTTGCGCAAATCTCAGTCTCGTAAGACAGAATAGTACATTTGACTTTGAAGTCATTTCCACCATGTGCCTCAGCTTTGTGCCTTCCCAACGGTGTTGTTAATATCCCACGTCTTTTGCTAGTCAAATGTTCCTTTAATCTTACACCCAACGCTCTACCCGTCTCTCCTATGTAGCAGTCTTGGCAGCTCAAACATTCCAACTGGTATATCACGCCTCTTTGCACAATCCCCAACATTGCCGTACGGGCATACGATGCATTCATCTACTATGCATTCGTAATCGTAGAGTCTATTCGAACTAGCTGCTTCTTAATGTTATCCTTCGGTACCTCAACCAGTATCACATCATTCTGCAGTTCAGCTCGGTGAATGCGTTGTCTAATTGCCGCGCTAACCTTATCTGATATATTAGGTTGGTTCATAATTAATGCACGTTTTGAATTTCAACCGCAATAAGTCATCCACTTTTCATTTTTATACAGGCCTCAAAGTACCATTGGATAGAGCAAAGCAAGCTCTACAAGATGGCACTCATGTCTTAGCTCCATGCGCGATCCACGGAGAGTTCGAACTCAAAATCTAAAGATTTCCAAATGCCCAAAAAATCGAAAAAAATCAGATCTTCGTCCAAATAATTTCTACGGACCTCCCACTCGCTCACATCAATACTATCGATATCTGATATCCATATGTGCGATTGCCGTATTTTTCCCTTGACTAGAAATCGAGAAAACGAAAATTTCCCTGATTTTCTCAAAGCAATGCTGAGCCGTTTTTGCATATCGTTTATTCGTTGACCGTAACGACTGCTGACCGCGCGGCGACCGCTGCGCGTGCATGATGTTTTCGTAGAAAGATGAATAGAAAGAAAACAGAGGATTCTTCTCATCTTTATAATGTAGAAAAGAAACAAAGAATTCTTCTCATCTTAAGCCACGGTCCAACTTGTCACTTTTTCGCAAGCTTAGAAGGCACGCGTCGCAGTCGCCACGCGGTCGGCAGTCCGTACGGTCAACGAATGAACGATATGTAGTTCCATACTACAAGCCTAGGTAAGTATAACTGTAGATTTTCAGCCCATTCCAAGCGGTAGTTTTCGAAAAATAACGAATTCGGCTTTTTTCATTATAAATTCAGTGCCAAAATCGACATTTCTCAAAAAGTACCGTTCGAAATAGGCTGAAAATTTACAGTTATGCTTACCTAGGCTTGTAGTATAGAACTACATATGCAAAAACGGCTCAGCATTGCTTTGAGAAAATCAGGGAAATTTTCGTTTTCTCAATTTCTAGTCAAGGAAAAAATACGGCAATCGCATATATGGATATCAGATATCGATATATTGATGTGAGCGAGTGGGAGGTCCGTAGAAATTATTTGGACGAAGATCTGATTTTTTTCGATTTTTTGGGCATTTGGAAATCTTTAGATTTTGAGTTCGAACTCTCCGTGGATCGAGCATGCTTCTGAACCAGCTTCTGCCAAAGGTGTCCGCTAATTTGTCCAATGCTCATCAATTTCCAGAGCAGCTGCGTAACACGAAGTTTGGACATAGTGTCATTATGGAGTCCTTCGATGTGACTTCTTTATACACTAATGTCCAACGATGACGCATTACAAGCTCTCTCTGAAATGTTGGACAAACATGTATATAACAGCCATAAACACCTTTGGTCTGAGCAAAACGCAAATACTTACCCTCACTCGAGCATGCTTGGGATGTAACATCTTTAAATGGTCTGGGAGATATTTCTCCCGGATACGAGGACTGGCTATGGGTCAACGCCTAGCACCTGTTCTCGCAGTATGTTATATGAGTAAAATCGAGCAGCCAGTACTTGCGCGTATGCCGTTAATGTACTGTCGATACATCGACGACTGTTGTATAATAACATCGACTCAAGCCGAAATGGGTGAGTACTTTGCGATTTCAAACCAACAGTCCCAGTACATACGGTTCACTAGAGAAACACCAGTAACGGATGGCTCCCTTATTTGAACACACAGATCAGATTATCTGATGGTGTGCTCCATGTTAAATGGTATCGTAAGGAAGCATCCAAAAACATCTTGATCCACGCAAAGTCAGCTCACCCTGCAGCAACAAAACGAGCGGTCATCCGCAACATGATGAGAACTGCTACAGCGGTATGCACAGGCCACGAAGAGCAGCTCGAATCACGAAAGCTGGCATTACAAATTGCGCAGAGTAACAGATATGTACTAAGTGAACACAGATGCAAAACTTCGCACCTTCCGATACCTCTATCCGTAAACAGAATGACAATAAGGTTCCACTTTGCATCCCTTTTATATCAGATAAGGTTAGCGCGGCAACTAGACAACGCATTCACCGAGCTGAACTGTAGAATGATGTGATATTGGTTGAGGTACCGAAGGATAACATTAAGAAGCAGTTCGGAATAGACTCTACGATTACGAATGCATAGTAGATGAATGCATCGTATGCCCGTACGGCAATGTTGGGGATTGTGCAAAGAGGCGTGATATACCAGTTGGAATGTTTGAGCTGCCAAGACTGCTACACAGGAGAGACGGGTAGAGCGTTGGGTGTAAGATTAAAGGAACATTTGACTAGCAAAAGACGTGGGATATTAACAACACCGTTGGGAAGACACAAAGCTGAGGCACATGGTGGAAACGACTTCAAAGTCAAATGTACTATTCTGTCTTACGAGACTGAGATTTGCGCAAGGAAGATCCTTGAGGCAGCATGGATACTTACGAGGAATCCTAGAATGAATGCTAAGAATGAATGCGTGTCAATCAACAGTGATCTCTTGCCGTTCATACCGCTATGCAATCTGAACAGCAGCACATAAATACCCTTGACTCACTGGGTGACACTCAGTGACGTCCGCTATCGTCCCGTTGTGCGGACTTACTGGTATGCGGTGGAGTTAAGGTGATCGTTTCCCGCTGGCTGCTATCCTCCGATAAGGTCTAGACTAGCAGTTGTGGAGGAGGCTCTTGGCGGCGTACTGGTCAGATCCAAAAACCTATAATCTACGTTCAGACCTCTTGAAAAATACGAGCACTTCGAAACGTCGGTCGAATAAACATCCACCAAGAAACCTGGTTTCGGCACAACAATCATTTACTGACACATATCTTTGTTTTAGCTTCTGCCAACACTCAGACTGAACCGAGCTAAGCAGCACATTGCTTTTGGAAGGAAATGCAAAACGGATATCGTTTTTGTGGGTCCGGAACTAGCCCCGACACAAGTTGGCTTTCTGGCTGGCAGTTTACTGGCTTTGCTTCGAATTTGTTCCAGACATGCCCATTAGTTTCAACAATTTGGATTGAATATACGGACGGCTTCTCAAGATGACAGCAGGCAAGGCGCTGGTATATGCCGGCGGCAAGCCTTAACACAGCGCAGAAATTCATAATTGGTGTCAAACAAATAAACTCTTTCTCTGCAATCAAAGGCAATGGTATGACACCAAATCGGTGTACATATGCGGAGGGAGCTCACACTTGACCCAGACATTTATAAAAACTTATTTGAATGCAAGCCGCGCTCAACTTCCTTCCAAATAAGCTAGGTTCAAGCTGGGTAGTTGAGCTGGACGACCTTTTGCTCAAATAATTTTTTGCGTTTTTATGTGGTTGTATGGGATTCGGAAAATCGTGACGATGGCGCGAACGTGCGTGTTATGCACGCATCTCAGGCAACCGCATGTTCTTGGTTTTCATCTCTACTCCAATGCTTTTTCTGCTTACGTATGATTGTGACTAAGCACTAAAAGTGACTGAGCTGAGCATTGAAGTGATGCTTTTTGGTATGTGTGTTTTGTGCTCTTTGGGTGCAAAGAGTGCAGTCAAACTCGTCGCCACGATTTTATAAACGACCTATACCTTCGTTTAGAAGATTTCGTACAGATGGAAGACGGTTTCATAATCTTTCCACAAGGCCTTCGCCCTAAACTTTTCATCAGTCGTAAGAGAAGCAGTTCCCACTACCACACATTTCATTCGGAGGTGAACGACAGCCTACATAAAAAAGACAAGTGAGAAGTAGCGAGCAAGTATATAGTAGGGAACATTTTACAAAAACAAGGACTTCGTTTCAAAATCACTCCGTCTCCGGCTGCCGAAATCGTCGTACTAGCAACCGAAGTTCCTAACCATTTTTAGATCTTATCTTTTCCACAACACCTCTACAACATTAAATTTGCTCCATATACAAGAGTCTGAAATGAGCGATGATGAGATGCACTCTGATCCTTCCAATACACGAGTAATATACTAGACATCTTGCTAACTCAGACAAATCACAGGAACTTCCGCAGGACAATCCAAATTTGTAGAAGTTTCGCAGCATTTTGTTAACTATTGCAAAGATGAAAACGTTAAAAATCGGAACTTCCGCGAGATTTTCATGCCAAACTGATAGAAAACCAGAACTTTCGCAGATCCTTCTCCAAAATCCTGCGGAAAATCCGAAAAATGCCAGAGGTTCCGCAGCACTTTGGACTGCCAGGACTTCCGCGGCACTTTGAATGTGTTGTCTCGTGATGTTGCCTCGCCAACAACTAGAGTGCACTATCGAACATGTCAGCCGTAGCGCAGAGGATAGTAGATGGGTTCCACAGTCAATAGAGTACGGTTCAGATCTCACTTCGGTGTTCTCTTTTGCTGTTGTGGTTGGCATTCTCCGCAACTTCCGCAGGACATTTACGGAACTTCCGCAGATTGACCCGGCGGAACTTCCGCAAGCGCTCTGCGGAAGTTCTGGTCATTTCTCTGAGAATTCATGCACACAGTTGCAATACAAAAGCACACTGAAGCTTTATCACTTTATTTTTTCATTTTGTTGTCATATTCTTTTAAGAACCTATTTCCTGCTGTTCTAGCGGATTCGTCGAGATTGATATGTAAAAGAGCATTTTCGATCATGACACGATGGATGTATAGATACTGAACTTCTGTTTGAATGCATTGAGCTCGCGAACACCGCAACTCTCGGCCGATCTGAAACACAGAAGGGTAATGATAACGAACAAAAATCTGGAAAAATCAAGCTATTTCTGCAAGTTACCTGCTCAAAGTCGACTTTGCCGCCAGCGATAATTTTTTGAAGAGCGATTTCGAGAGCTACGATACTGCCAGTTCGCCCAATACCGGCCGAACAATGGATAACGCATGGAGCACTTCGAATTCTAAACAAATAAAAATCTGAGAATAAAAAACAGTACAAACCAGATACCTGTCAAGAAGCTGAAGAGGAATTGTACAGGAGTGATGATCAGGAACACCTCGATCTGGCCAGCTACAAAAGCATGACAATTATCACAACGCTGACCGGATAAGTGGGGCTGCGTCAGGAGCTGTCCGTGCCAGCGCCGTTTCAGCATCGCGTCAGAATTCGATCAATACGGGGATCGTTTGAGTGAGTCCTGGCACGCAGCTGGCACGACTCTAAACGCTGCCTGAAAACAACTCACGTAGTCCACCGAAACAGCCGCAACTGCAATGGCTTCCGCTGTTGTGGTGGCAATTCAGCATCGGTTACGGCTAAACGATTCCTTATAAGAAATGTCGAGTTAACACTTCGTAACCTACCATAATCGGGATTTAACTCTAAGGTGAGAGATGTGGTAGTGGCGAATTCATCGGAATCTTCGCCAACATTTTTCACTTGTACCGTTGGCATAACGTCACATTTACCAACAGTTTCCGGCCAGTATACAGAACATTTTGGTCGTCCATCTTCACACGGCCTGCAAAGAAGCAAAAATCAGTACTATGCTTATAACTTTGAATTTATCATAGCCGTCTATGCATAGATTGATGTTTCAAAGAAGATGTTCTCATTGTGTAAAATACTGTCCACCTAATCATTTCGTATACGACGTGTACATGATACGAATTAATTGAGCTTTCGTTCAAAAGAAAGAAGGCATCTCAGTAAATTTGCTACAAAAAAACTCACTTGCACAGCATGAGTATGTTTTCAATCCGTTCTTGAAAAATCATACGCCAAAAATCATGAACTGTCGACTGTAGAGGACCCTGAAATCTGAAAGGTATGCATGTGAGATAACGACCAGGGTATGGGGGGGGGGGTAATGATATGTGACGTAGTCTGTTAAGGGGGCTTGGTTGTACTAGTGGAGAATATTGGTTAGAGTTTGCTCAATTTAGTCGGGTCACCGAAAGCTCAGAAATCCTACTGAAACGGAGCACAACAGTTTTTGACGCAAAATTCGATCAATTTTCAGCATTATCACAAACTACTCTAACCATAAAAAATGATTCGAAGAAAAATTGCCTTAGCGTCTCTCACCTGAGTACAGATGAATTTTGTGGTGAGAAGTGGTGACTTGACGTAATTTGCGTGGATATAGTCTCCATGTTCCTTCTCACCCAATTTTAACTTCACTCGCGTTGATTCCGTGCAAACAACATCTGAAACGCATTTCTCAGAACATAGATAAATCAAGTATCCAATGGCGGTTATGCCCAGCTCAGACAATCGACGGGACCCCTCCGCCGGACCCTCGGAAACTGCCAGGGTCGCGCCGGACCCAGTTGACCAATGAGAGAATGGCAAATGGGCGGTCCATCGCGGTGGCATCACTGGCAGGCAAATGGGAGGCTTCTCCGGCCCTGCTGCAAAGGTCCGCCATTTCTCCGGCGCGACTCTGCCAGATTTGACGGACTCCGCGCCGCAGAGATCTGCGCGGCGCGTGTCCGTTAAATTTGGAAGAGACGCGCCGGAGAAAATGGGAGGGGTCCGGAGCAGAAATGGGAGGCCTCCGGAGCAGAAAATGGGAGGTATCCGGAGCAGAAAATGGGAGGTATCCGGAGCAGAAAATGGGGGGTATCCGGAGCAGAAAATGGGAGGTATCCGGAGCAGAAATGGGAGGTATCCGGAGCAGGCTGCGTATCGATTTGGCGCGTCGTTGCAAATCATTCATTGCGGCATCAGGCCTAGGGCATAGTGTCCACGATACCGTCGCGCTGCGATTTCTGAATGACAACTGTTACGCACCCCATCGATGATCCGCTCTTTCGGAGACAGAGGAGTAATGTTGTCATAAGGTATTTATGAAGCTGTTAGGGCTGTAAAAAGTGGGGTGGAGGACATTAGGTCGCCGAATTCGGAAGAGTCCCGCGCGGATTCCCTGCAGGAACGCACGTCCGCGCATGTACAAGGGTGCGTATTTGTCGCAAATGACCGCGGGGACCGCCCTTTTTCGGCGACCTAATGTCCCCCACCCTAAAAAGTGTAATAACGTTTGATCTATTCAGGAATATTCATGAGGACTATGAGGTCCTACATACTGGATTTTGCAAGACTTTTGATGAGTAGCCGGGCTCGGGTGTACAGGGTTTCAGGGACGATTTTCCAGTAAGATTGCTGTGACAACATTACTAAGCTAGTCACCATGTCAGTCCTGATGAATTTTTGGCGAAGTTTCATCACAACTAACACTGGAAACTTCCATAGATTTTAGGTCAGTTCTGATGTTTCATTGCTATTCGTTCTTGGATGATTTTCAGTTTCAGTCGATGTTCTATTACAACCTTTATGCCCTGTACATACCTAATTTTACCGTTTTGTCTCCCATGATGATCGGTTTCAAAAATGAGCTTTCCTCATTGGGAACTATTGTCAACGATGCTGCCAAAGCATGTCTAACAGTACGTTGAGATCTTCAGAAGTCCGCTTCATCATGCTTTGTCATTGATTTCACTCATCTTTTAGATTTATCTCACCAAAGGTTCATCTGAAATGTATACAAAGCTTCCAAACTCTGGCCGAAATACAGTTGTTATGAATTTTGGAGACCCATTTACCACAAGAAACTCTGCCATAGTAGTGCAGCGGTTTGACAAGCTCATTCCTAGGTGAGTCACAGTCAGCCCTTGCATTTTATTCTATACTTCTTCTGTTCCTTGCACGTTTCAGTCACGCAATATCTGATACATTCAATCGTAGGTTAATGGATTATAATGTGTTTTTAAATGTGCCTCAGTATAGTGCTTTTGCATGGAAGGATATGCCTAGCTTACTGCCCTACTCTAGAAAAGTGAGTGTACTTTATATTTCCTTTTTTGTCTGCCGATTCACGATTTTTCCATTTCTTCCGTATTTTTTCGTGTTTTTGTATAAATTCTTACTGAAATAGCAACCAAGTGGTTCAGCCATCTATCTCTGAATCTGGGCAATCTTTTTTGCTCGAGATTGAGCGGAAAGAAACGCTGTGATTCTTCTGGGCCGTAGTCGGCAGAAGTGCTTTCACAAAAAGTCTTGAGTCTTTAGAGTTTTTTCTCTTGATTGCTTTCGCAATTGAGAAAATAGTAAGAACCATTTTCTAGGCACCTCGACTGCTTCTGGGAGCCATCACAGCTTTCATGCGTTTATTCCATGCACCTACAGCGTACCTAACAGAGTAGATTGAACAAGCATTGTATGAACGATTCGCTTGGACATTTTCACCTACTGTTGTTCTCTTCTTGTGTCTTTGACGACCACTCCCCTGAGCTGTTCAATGTATACTTCCGTTAATATGAGGATAGACCCTCTCAAAAAGTAAGTGATGTTCTTAGTGAATGTTTTGAACCTAGATTTACAGATATAAACATTCATTCAACCAAACTTCAGAATACTTTGTCAAAATTGAACGATCAAAATTGAAGATTGAATGAAACCAAGATTGAACGAATCTTCATGGTTATTTGCTCGCAGGTGGAATGCTCATCGAACACTGCAGGATGAAATTGCGTTTGAATGGCGTTCTTTACGTGCAATAAATTGCCCGTTCCCTCACCCTGTCACGTTTTGAACGTTCGCTTATTGCTATTCTAAGGTTCACTCTTTTACACCAGTGAGTGTGAAATGATTAACGATATAAGATGGTTTTTCGAAGAAGTTTGAAAAATTTGAAATAAATGTTTAATCTCTTCGTTCTTTCTCCTATCTTCTATCCACAAACGCTAGGGGTGAGAGGGAGGGGGTAGAGTACGGGGTGAGGGTCGTGCTGAACCCCTACCCGGGGGGGGGGGAGGAGGGGGGGGTCCTATTCGGCTAATTTGGGTGGGGTTTAGAGACAAAATTGGGGTTTGGAGCTTAAAGGCAGCGTCCAGGCAAGTCTGGACCTATGGGGATTTTACATGGAAAGTACTTTTGGGGCCCTAACTAACCCACTACCCAACCGGCAGCTCAGGTAGTGCTGTAACGCCTGAGATATTCTGCTCGAAACTGGACCCCGCGACCGTGTTTCGCATGGATTCATGGCGCAAAGCGTGGACCCTGGCGCGAAACTGCCATGAATCCATGCGAATACGTTCGCGGGGGTCTGTTTCGAGGGGAATATCTCCGCCATTAGAGCACTACCTGAGCTGCTGCTTCGGCAGTGCCTTAGTTAGGGCCCCAAAAGTACTTTCCATGTAAAAGCCCCATACCAGATCTGCCTGGAAGCTGCCTTTAATTAGGGCTAATTACAGTATGCCGCGATCGGGGGGCTCCGGCGCACAAAATCGGGGGGCTCCGGAGCAGAAAATGGGAGGTATCCGGAGCAGAAAATGGGGGGTATCCGGAGCAGAAAATGGGAGGGCTCCGCCGGACAAATGGGAGACCCACCGCTGGGGATACGCCGCGACCCTGCCACTTCTCCGGCGGAGGGGTCCGATCCGCTGTCTGAGAGGGTCAAGCGTGGGGTGTGGCACGCCACACCTTGGGGTCGTAGAGGGGTCAGGAAGAGGTGGGAGGGTCGTCATCGAGGTGACAGTGATATTAGCGACATTATGTCATAACAATGTCTGATAGACTCATTGTACAAAATACCACTGATGTTTTAGCCCATCGTCGTACAAGCACAGTAAGCATATTAAAAGAATCCTAAAAGCATAGCGGCACCATTTTCGTAATTAGCATGTCAGTAACCCCCAAGTTTCAGCGAATTTCAAGAAATATTGGGACACTCAAATGAGGTAGTCATTCTCGACATGTTAACTTTATTTCAAAGATGAGTAAACTACTTTTTTTCACTCATTACAAGGTACTACTAGTCTTGCTTGTATTACGAATCCCACTTTAACTAACCTCCAAACTCTGGAATTGAAAGCGAGCCAAAATCTCTTTTGTCTCATTCTTTCAATTCTCAACCAGAGAAGACAATCAGGCTCAAACCATTTCTGTGAAAGTTACGAGGATCTGGCTATCAAATATACTTGTCCTTGCCGACTTTTTTCGCGATTCACGTAGTAGCGCAGACTTGGCATATCACGGTAATTCAATATTTTCGCAGTGTTTTCCGTTTGCTTAGCTAAGAAAAATCGACTATATCTTTCCCTAGGAGAAACAATTTTGAATGAAATTCCTGCTACGTGGAGAGAACGGTTTAGCAGTAGCAACCATATAAAAAAGACAGATTTGAATGCTTTGAAGGTAAGTTAAGGGGTGTGGCACAACCTGTAGCCGCCATAACTTTTTAGGGGTTGTGCCACACCTCATTAACTTGCCTTTTTAATAAGATACATATAGTTTGATAGCCTGAGTCTTACAGTTTTCATAGGAGTAATTGGGCCTGATTCATCTTCTTGCTCTGAGTAAAAGCTGGTGAAAGCGCAGCCAGTGGAAACGAAAATTGGGACGAACGAATGAAATTTTGGCCTGCTTCTAACTCATAGTTTGATGGTTAAATGGGAAAATATGGAGCGGTGCTTTGCGTTGAGTACAAAAGGAGCTAGCTAATTTACCTTCGAAATATAGTTAATCATCTTCAAAAATGTTCACTCCACATGGTGGTTTAATATTGGGTGACCCTCAGAATTTGCTAAAACTTGGCTCATGGTGGTTATTTGGCACATTAATTACGAAGATAGGCCTAATTATGCATGGTAGAGCCTTTATGTCATGAATACGGAAGAGAAGAAGGGGGGGGGGGTAGTAAGACAGAAGATAGGGGGGGGGGGAGGTCCGGCGCTTTTGGATCACACTTCTTGCGCGACCCTGGTTATGCCTCATTCTGCTGCTGACAAGAGTGCTCCCTTACCTGAGTATCTATTCTTGAGCATATTTGATCGGAACGCTTCATAGGTGGCTGTGGTATCGAAAAAGGCGTCGAGGCGCCTGAAAGAAGAATTTGAGGCACGATAAAGTCGACTGCACGAAATCGCCCGGGTCGCCGTAGGCTGAAGGCACGCGAGCGTACCCGCAACGCGACTCCCGAGTATGGGCGCCATGATGTCTCATGCGCGCGAATGCCAATATTAGCCCGCAAGAGATGCGCGCGAGGGCGTTCATTCCGGGCGATTCCGTGCAGTCAACTATACTCAATATATGCATTCAAAATAGATGGCATGGCACAAAAAGTGGAACCGCTAAAAAACAAAGAACGGAAGAACTTACTTGTACTCTTTGACAATGCCATCTACTCCTTTTTCGGATATCCGCACAACAAACTCAGCTAGCGCTTTGAGTGAGCGATCGGCATTATCATCGATTTGCTTAAAACTACGAAAATCAGAAACTGGTATTTTTTATAGCTATTCAAAATTTGCTCCAAAATATCAAATTGTTTGATTTTCTCTAGAAAGAAGGTTGTTATGTTGACTACAATGAAAAACAAACCATAAAGAATGCCGTTTAAACCTTGAATAGGAGAAACAAACAACAAATTTTGTGCGCATTTTATGTCAGTTGACCAATATTTGCTAACGCTTTGCCAAAGGAACGCTGATCACAAAATCACGTTATTTCCGCGGTAGGCGACATTTTCGGAATATGGTAGGCATACGGTAGATGGAACAAAACCCCAAATAGTTCGAAACTTTGCCTATTAGGTTAATCAACATGCTGATTGTACTTATGATAATGATAGTGAACAAAACCTCAACCAAAGTGACGTCTCACGAATTGTACTGTAATATGGACACCATCCATCACGATGGCGCAGAAATCTTCAGGCACAACCGATATCAAAATCGCAATCCGCATGCCGAGAACGCCAATGCAAGGTTTTGAGCAATTTGGAATTTTCGAACATCTACCGTATACCATCGCAAACCTAGAAAAGAGTGGAAGCGCTGCAGTGCGAGATAATAAGTTGGAACATAAGTTTTGTAACAAAAATTCCAAAAAAAACTTCTAAAAATGCTCTGAGCAGCATTTTCTGTATAGTATTTTTTCATTCTATGAGATTCATGCAGTATTTTATTGTATACATTAAAGAACTTATCTCAATCAACATCAAAATTCAGAAATAAAAATTTGAATATTACAAGTTCTTATGGGCGTCTGAGCTTATATTAAGCCTATACAAATATTAGGCCGAACATAATTACACCAAAAAAGAGTTATCATTGCAGTTAAAAAGCGTAGATCAAAAAATCCACATAAAAAGTAAAATTAAATTTTTTGGCCTTTCAGCAAATTTGGGGATTATAAGTTGAAAAAAGAAAATATGAGTGTTTGCCACCGGTTCTGTTGCCTCGAGTGAAGATATATAGAAAGTGTGGGATTTTTAGGTTCTAAGTCGTATTATTTCAAACGGATTTACTGAACCTGGAGGAGATTATGGATATTTAGAAAACTTTGGTGCAAGTTTAAGTTCCAATCTAATAAATGATATTCGGCGTATCGAATGATCCTTTTCAGTAAACAATTTTGAGTTTTTGAATCAATCAAAGCGAAGTTGTACAAAATTTTGAATAAAATACCCTAAAATCCCATAGATAAGAGCGGTTCAATTTACCGGTGAAAAATGAATTGGAAAAATTGAAATTGAATGCAGTCAGCCCTCTAACTTGATGGATGGATAAATAAAAATCGGAGAAGGAGTTTAGAAGAAGCTCCGCCCCTCAACTCTAAACCTCGCCCACTTAATAAACAATTCATATAGAAAAATAGCGATTTTAACGGAATTTCGGAATTTCTATATGAATTGTTTATTAAGTGGGCGGGGTTTAAAGTTGAGGGGCGGAGCTTCTTCTAAACTCCTTCTCCGATTTTTATTTATCCATCCATCAAGTTAGAGGGGTGACTGCACTCAATTCCAATTTTTCCAATTCACTTTTCACCGATAATTCAAACCGCTCTTCATTAATGGATTTTAGGGTACTTCTCATAGACGAATTTTTGCAATTTCACTCACCCAATTTTCAGGTTGTCCTGGTACTATGGTAGCCTTTTGTTTTGCATCGTTACGAGCTGCCTTCGACGCTTTAACAGCCGACTGTAGGCTTCCCCATACGCGGGACGCAATCGATGACAAGTCTGATGCCGCCACTATGACTGCAACTTTGTGTTCAGAGAATGAGCGTAGAACTTCCGATTCGACAAAAACAAACGAACAAAATCACTGGAGGAACAAAAAAAATTCAATTCCAACTCAGAGGGAAAGGCAGACAATGTAGCATTACATGAGTAAAAATTATCAGAGCAGACCTTTTCGAAGGGGGAAAGGCCTAACCAAAAAGACTCCGACGCTTCATTAGTTTGAGTAATGAAGTGTCAATGGTCGGTTGTTTTGATTCCAACAAAAAAACGGACAAGAAGCAGAAGGATTCAAAACAGCCAATCAGAATGGTAGCATTGATCTTATATGAAAAAAAAGGATTAAAGGGTAAAAGAAGGTTTTACGAATTTTGAGAAAAACAGCCTTAAGAAAAAAAAACTTCTTGATTCTATAACGCTATACTACCTCTACTGGTAGTTTATACGCCTTAAGTGCATGTTGTTTTCATCTGCCAAATTCGTTCTAAATATAAATGATAGATTCCATGAAACGGATCTAAATAAGCTTAAAATGAGTTTTTTCGGTGACACCTTACCGATTATTTCTGCGTTATGAGCTCCCATAAAAATTTTTCCGACCTTTTATTTCTCCCACTGCCTACAGAATTTTTGCTACCGCCACTACTGTTCGAGTATTAGCCACATGAGAACCGGTCACTTTGTACATCACTGTGACGTCTATAGGACTTTGAAGGTTTTTAGAATATAACCTGATGAGAAAAAAGTTCATGGATTATCAAGTCAAAAAATTTTCAGGCGACATCATCGGTTTTGAAAATTACTGGAATTTTGCTAGACAATGGCACCGAAAGTTTTCTAGTTTTTCTTATAAATCTGCTTGACTCAAACCAATAATTTTCTGCGTAAAACACAACTCGTGCTATCAGCAAACATGTACACTGATATTATGACAGCAAGTGTACTTTTGCTGCTACACCAAATAACTCCATAGGCAGGCTTCCTTTTTCAGTCTCTTTTTCATGATCAGAAAAAAGCGTCTGCAATGCAAAAATGGCATAAAAACACAAGCGCCTACTTCTCAGTAAGTAGTACTTTTAGAAAGTCACAACATTAGTACATTCGAAAAAGTCTTTTCTGCTATGCCTCACTTACAGGGCTCGGCACGAGTTGGCTAGATGAAAATGGAAAAAACGAAGTCCCCCTTGACTTTTGGGAATTTTTACGAAGTCCCCTTTGACCCTGAACCAAATTTCTTCTAAAAACCTGAAAAATTCCCGAAAATCCCCCAAAAAACGAAACGTCGACTAAAAAAAAGGTCGCCGTCGTCAATTTTCCGTATATCTTCGCTCACAAAAACGAAACCCCCTTTGCTTTTCGTCCCAAAAACGATATCCAGCTTGCTTGTAAGCCACCTGTGCCGAGCCCTGCTCACTTAGCTTGCCTGCTTCGCTTTGCTTTGGATAAACGCGGACTTGCAAGAGAAGAAGTTTTCTTCAAATTAAACCATTCAAGTGTTTGACAACCAGGTTCTAATTCAAATATATACATTGTTTTCAATTTCAAATTCACGATAAGCTCCAAATCAAGAAAATTTGATGTATCATGCATGCTAAATACAAAGAAATCAGCAAAATGAATTTTTCAAACAAAAGCAAAACTGAAAATAAGTGCCCACGTTATTCAAGGGCAAAAGCACTTGACTTGGTGGCAGTCATGACAAGGGCCATAGGACAAGCAATAAATGCATTAATCATGACTCAGAGATGATCTTTAGAAAAGGAAAGAATTTTGGCCACTTAACATGCTACCAAGGAAAAAAATCACTAATCCATTTATCATTTCCTTGATAAGTCGGCAAGCAAGAAAATTATTAGTTTGAAAGATACAATTTCTTCAAAAACAGTCATCACTTTTATATGTTTTCACTTAGCTACATCCAGTGATGTAGCGAGGGAGTAGGGTTGATTAAATTTTTGATTGATTTTTACAATTTTTCGAAAATTCATTTCAGCGCTATGAAAAAGTTTTTTTTCATGAGTTTTTCAGGAATTTTGGGGTTATGGGCCCGCGAAAATTTTAGGAAGCATTTTTTTCCGTGCACGTGACTGACGCCACGCAGCTTCAACACAAGAATTTTTGTCCCCCCCCCCTTCTCCCCAAACGGAAATCCTGGGTATGCCATTGCATATTTCATACAGAAAATGAAGTTGGTGACAACCATGTTTCTCACTTTGAAGCTGTTTACATTGTTCCGAAATATATTACGACAACACATTTGAATGCGAACAATGCTATTTTTAGTTGTTACGCAAACAATCACAATGTAAACGGAAATTGAGTGAATCTCGAAGTTTTGACGGGAAACGATAACATGCGTATAGTACGAAGAATGTAAACTTGTCAGAAAAACATCTGTACAGATATCAAAATTTGATTTTTTCTAGAACTTTGTATTCCGCAAAAGGAAATCTCTAACTCACAAAATAAAAATCTACTGAAGAGTATCTACTACAAACTCTCTGTTGGGAGAACCTGAGATTCTTTAACTTCGTCTGAAAAAAAAACGATACAAAGTTTAGGGTCAAATTAACGTTTTTATCTACAACTAAGACTCACTTGTCCGACTTATTGCTTTCTACGCTATACAGAAGAAAATCGTATTTGAAAAAAAATTTGAGAGTCAACCAAATAAGGGTAAAAACATGAAAACTTCAAAAGGTCGCAGATGCTCAACATAGAAATAGCTTTCTAGTCAGGTTTCAAGACTAATTTTTTCAGAATTGATTTCGAAACATACAAATTCTTCAAAAAAAGAGGCTCATCGAGACTACAAACATAGTCAAAATGTGAATGAATGATGAGATTTATTGGAAACACCCATCTATAATATGGCGATGCCTATTTCGAATGTAAAAAAAGAGTGAATGAAATTACACAATTCTTTTAATCTGCAATAAATGATTCCCAAAGTGAAATGATTAGAAGATTTCATTAGAGGATCCAAAAATAGCCAGAAAACGAGCAAAAACGAGTAATTTCCGGTAATTCCCATCAACACAAAATGAAAAAAATTTCAGGGAACTTCTCTTAGAACACCTGAAATTAGCCAAAATACAAGCAAAGTAATGAAAGCATTTAAAGTACAGTAAAAACACCTCTTTAGGCAAATTCTTAAACTCTTTTTTTAGATTCCAAAATTTACACGACATGATTGTTCAAAGTAAAAATAATGAGAACAGTTATTTTAAAGATTTTAAAATAGCCAAAATACAGTGAAAAACGACGAAAATTCCAGGAAAATCACCGGCGTCCAGTCTCATTGATGAGCTAGCCTGAACAATGTCGAAACGCGAAACTCATTCATTTCGTACACACACAATGAGACTCTCTCACACACATATTGCCAAGCTGCCGATCGATACACAGCTGATATCAAAGAGTGTGTGGATGGCCACACACACTCGCTTAACAGCACTAAAGCAACACTTATCAGTGAAGTGATTCTTTCGAGAAAAATGCTAGTTCAGCTGCTCGTATTCACCATTTATGGAAGTCAGAAAATCGGCAAATTTTGAGTTAGAATGAAAATTTAAAGCACTTCGGAAATGTTGAAAAATTGAAAAGCTTCTGGAAATAAAACTCATTCCAGATATTATATTCCTGAAAAATCCTCAAATTTCCATTTGGAGCAGAATAATCATAAATAGTTTGCATACCGGAAACTATGTTGTCTGGTTCAAAATTTTGCGTTTTTCCCAATTTTGAGTATTAGGGAAAAGCAGAAATATCACATGAAACTACTATTATAAGAAAAACAATCCGCTTTACACTTAATATGGTGTTCAACTTAGAATTCTGCATTTTAGGAAACTGTTTATAAAAATATTGAAAAAGGGGAAATAGAAGTGACAGTAAATGCACTGAAGAAACGATCCATTTTGTTATTTATTAAACAAAAAAGTAAGAGAAGCAGATCCGAAGTTGCGGTAATATTCTGTACTTTCAGACTCTCTACTTCGCTCATGTGAAGAAAAAAAACAAGCAAAAACTCTGATAAGCTACTTAGCCTTTCACTTCTTCACATAAAAATTACTGATAAAAATGGCAGAGATTTTGCAAGTCACGTATGTTGTTTTTCTCAACAAAGCGATTCTAGAAATATTGCAGATCTGAGGGTAAGAGGGAAGTGAGAGGCAAGAATCGAAAACGAAGGTAGACAAGTAATCCATATTGGAAAAAAGTCAATGGAGAATGAAAAACGAAAAGTATTTATAACAGAAGAAGAATAAATATCACCGAAGAAACAGGCAAATAACAAGAAATGGAGAGAAGATGACTCGATTTCTTGTTTCTCACAGGCTGAAATTCCATATGGCAAGCAAAAACCTGGTCTTGTGTCTCGGAACTGAAAGTTAAACTACCTATTCATCAGTGGCAGTAAAACTTCTGGAAGGGGAAGGGGAGCCAGGAGGAAAAAAACGTAAAAAAAATTCCTGGATGGAAAGAGGCTAGCTATGCTCTATGGAAAGCTTTTAACATGCTTACAAGATTTTTGGCAGGATTCCGACGGAGCACTGGAAAAAGGGGGCGTGGCGGCAAGGCCAACAGATAATTTTTGATCATGCCACGCCTATCTTTGAATTCCAACGATCAAAAAACGAGCTTCTCTCGTAATTGTGTATGTACAGAGATAAATATAGCCACACATTACAAGCGCTTACGCTTCACATAACTAAAGTGAAAAAGCTAAAGTGCAACACACTTTCTCTCCACCCTCCCCCCTAGCGTTTCCGTTGATAAAATTCCCCTGCGAATGTCATTGCGCCTACTCGTAATATGCACTTAGCTTGTCCTTCTAAACTAGTTGTATAGCAAAATACGATACACATAGCTATACGATAACTTCATACGATACAGCGTACAACAAAAAAAAACTTGCACTTCTGCATTTGCAGACTCAAATAACGGTTTTGAAATTCAAGGATTTGTTGCTGATCTACCTTGTATAGTTATACGAAGAAAAGGAAAAGTGTCTA